CATGACCTTGACAACATTTGTCAAGGTCAAGGCGATTGAAGGCTGTTCCTAATATTTTCATTTCTTCAAATTTTACAGTGAAAATAAAAATAATTATCATAAATAAATCATGGGGTAACATGTAGAGTCCGATTGACTCTAAAGGATCATATGAAGGTCACAATGCTTTGTCGGGGCCACAAAGAAGCACATGTGTAAAATCCCATTAATAAATTTCTTTAATAATCATAGCATTGTGATCTTTATATGATCCTTTAGAGTCAATCGGACTTCACATGTCTCCCATGATTTTAAATTATTATTTTTGTTTTCACTGTAAAATTTGAAGAAATGAAAATATTAGGAACAACCTCCAATCGCCTTGACCTTGACAAATGTTGTCAAGGTCATGGCTCTGAACAACATTCAAAAGGTTTCAGCCGTTGGTCGAACATCTTGGGTACCAATACTAATGGCAACAGTATTATAACTTTAAACAATATTATAACTTTTAACTCGAAAGATACTTGAAAAATATTTTATAGTGTTTTGGAAAGCTGTCGAGGTAAGCTACAAGAATATGCAATGAAAAATGGAGGTTTCCATTTAAGAAATTGAAGGTGATCTTCACGTGACTTTTAAACGACTATCTAGAGTCAAGCCAATTGCATCATCTTATGTCCCCCTCCAAACCATACAACTTTTGTTTGAAATATTTTTCCGTATCTTCCAAATTTTTCGAGATATTTGCCTGGTCCGATTAAAATGACTTACCCTGTATGTGTATATATATACAGGGTGTCCCGCGTAAGACGTGCCAAAAGAAAACTATAAGTAAAACAGATAAAAGTGAACAAAAATTGTAGAGGTCATTTTTCAAACAACTACGTAAAATTTCGAGATATTAATTAAAATATTTGGACATATCAGAACGCGGCAGGCGGGACATATGGATCGCCGGCGAAAAAAATGGACGATTGCTCGCGGGCCTATCTTATAGGCCAGAGAGATAGGCCGTTTGGCATATGGAATTGGGCTCTGTGTGTATGTCCGTATACGTGTGTGCTCGTTTATTTTCTTCGCCGGCCGCGTCTCCGCGTACTAATATGCCCAAATATTTTAATTAATATCTCGAAATTTTACGTAGTAGTTTGAAAAATGACCTCTACCATTTTTGTTTACTTTTATCTGTTCTATTTATATTTTTCTTTTGGCACGTCTTACGCGGGGCACCCTGTACACACACAGACACACACACACACACGCGCACGCACGCACGCACGCACGCACGCACGCACGCACGCACGCACACACATATCATTAACAAAGTTAACTTAGTAAATTTAGTAATACTGTTTTAAATTATTTGCTGATATGCACATATAACTCAACAAACTTATTATGGAATTAATATTGATTGTCACCATTGATCGGTGCTATAATATTATACGGTGTACTCACTAATTTATGTATAAAACAATTAATCGGATATCGAATATATAGTCAACAAGTACCCAGTAAAATGAGCCAACAAATATATACATTGTAAATTGTGATTTATTTACCGTATCTTTGATAATTCAAATTTTAAACATTGAAATGATCAATGAAAATCTACATAGCAATCAACCATATAAATAAACAGTGCATAGAAAAATGCAAAATACATTAAAACGTTTTCAAATACATTTACGCGATATTTATTAGCGTAAAAAGAGCCAAAGAAAAATTTTAAGAAAATTAAATTTTGCACCAATATCCGTGATGGCTTTTATTGGTCTTTCTCTACTTAATTGAAAAAAATTGCTTGAAATTCCGCATTAAAATTTTTATTAGATGAAGACGATCGCTAAGTCAAATTGAATCGTTTTTAGCTTCTCGCACTCGTAACTATCACTTGGCAGCTATTTTTGAAGTATTTCGTTATCGCGTTCTATCTACTTCTCTCTTTCTCTCTCTCTCTCTCTCTCTCTCTCTCTCGTGACGAACGTTCATTGTTACGTTCACTTATTGCTATTTTTTTTGCATCAATAATATTACGCACCTTTCCCGCGTGCAGAACCAATTCTTCTACAGTGTTATAGTATTCGTCCAAGTCGTTTGCCTCGATCATGTTTTCTAATTGTGTCTCATTGGATGTTACGGTGAACGAAACGGATCACTGGAAGATTTGCACTAATGCGCGACAATTTGCGCTCTCGTTGATGTGACTGTCGGAGTGTTGATTTTGCTATCGGAATACTGGTTGAGATTCACCACAATGCAATTTTTTTTATTGACGCGTTGGATCAGTCGTAGAGACAAACACTGATGGCGCAGGAGCAGCCAAAACTTATCTAGCCGATAAACGTGGCGCCGGGAAAGTTTTATACATGATTACGATGACGTCAGCGCAGAAGGTGGAAGGTACGCTGTCGCGAGTTGATTACGCACGTGACAATCCATCGGGGGTCAATCATATCGTGGACTATCCGCGACTGTCTAGACTCCTGGCGTCCTTATGACGTCATGCGCGTATATTTCGTGAACGACCGTGATTCTGTCGTCTTTTCCCCACCCGCGCGTTTGTCGCTCGTTCTATAATTAGATGATACTTCGCGAAACGTGGTATTTCCCTGCGGGGATCGCATTAGATTGCCATCCGGAGGATGTAATTATTAAGCGGTACGGGAAAAAAGTAGAAGAGGAGGATCGTAAAATCATCTTACCCGTGCGTCTCTAGTTGCCAGTACAATCATGAAATATTCCATGCTCACGTTAGCATTATATAATTTCTTATGCTTCTTTTTATTGACTATTAGTTCTTCGGTAGAAGATATAATAGGTATGCGAGCCGTTGCAAGAGAAGCATAATTGAGAAAATGGATCGCGCATGTTTGCTCGAACGTGATAGATTTCTTGCGGTTTTAATTATATATATGTTACAATAAATGTGGAGGAGCATCGTCGATTACCAAGATTAAGTTTATTTATAACATGTACACTTTCAAAACTTTAAAATTTAATATCTTCGAAACTATATACGATCCTCATATATAAGGTTCCAGATCACCTTCACAATCTCTCGTAGAGCAGATTGAGATGAACACAAAAGTCTCATATCATTTTGCGATATTCGCAATTATAGTGGAGATATTAATTAAAGAAGATTGGTGAATGATTACGCGCGATATGATAGATGACACCTGCAGTGACACCGTCTGCCGTTGTATACTTATACATTAAGTCAAACTGAACAAAAAAGTCCTCCATTTTGCAAATAACCACATAGATTTTTAGATATTAATTAAAGAAAATTGTTACATGATCGTGCACCACAACGCACAAATTTTCTTAATATCTAAAAATCTATGTGGTCATTTGCAAAATGGTAGAGGGCTTTTTTGTTCAGTTTGATTTAATGTATAATATAAGTATACAACGGCGGACGGTGCCACTGCAGCTCATCTCATATCGCGCGTGATCATTCACCAATCTTCTTTAATTAATATCTCGACTATTATTGCGAATATCGTAAAATGATATGAGACTTTTGTGTTCATCTTAATCTTCTCTACGTCCTCACGAGAGATTGTGAAGGTGATCTGAGACATCCTGTATATTCGAGAACAAAATACTCTGCTCGATAGGAGAGAGGTGAAAAGAAAAGAATATGGAACGATAGAGAATATGGAAGACAGTTGCTAGCATTCAGTTCCTTTGTGATACCATGATGTCGCGTGCAATAACATTAGAATATAAACGCGAGCAGGGAGTACGCGGCCGCGCGCCACACCCGTATATTCGACGATGCGATGCAGCGAATAACAGGTTAATCCATTCATTCTCTTTTCCACCGCGAGGGCGCGTATCCGTCGATACGTATAGGAAAAAATCACTCAGAATTTCATTTTCTATAACATATTTAAAAAAAAATCGGTGAGGTGTTACCTTTTATGCAGTTTTACCCAATTGTGTTTACATTTTTTTACGAGCGATTACTTATGAACTGCTACAGTTATTTATTCTTACAGATATATCAGATACATAGACTTTGAGTTATTATCGAGTAAACGCGTAAATGTGTTTTTGATAGATTATGTAATTATATAACAATGCTAACGTTGCTCATACAAGAAGCAGGAATTTTCCTGTCATTTCCTTTTGATACATAGTAATTCGAAATTTATGAACGGTCCGATAGACAATTCCTCATACAAAGTTAGATACGTCTATTGTGTTACTAACGTTTGCGTGCTTTGTTCTCGCGTTCACCCGTAGATCGGCCTCGCGAATGATCCTGCCGACGTCGCGAGCGATATTCTCGTTACACGCGGCTATAGCTCGCGGCTTCATGATGTCGATCGGTTCACCTGAAACAAAAAGCGAGAGATGTTGTCAATGGAGCGTAACGAAAGGCGAAACCGTCAATGACTGTGCCATGGAATGAAACGGTAATATCAAAGTCGCGCAATTGTAAAGATCGCTAAAATAAAAAAATTGGTAAAATACGTTTCCACACATCGGTTTTAGAGCATGTAATTATTTCCTAGTATAATGCAAAGTATTATAAATTTCTCGTTCTTTATAAAAATAAAATAATGGAGTTTTATAATTTTACACACACACACACACGCGCGCGCGCACGCACACGCACGCACACGCACACACACACACACACACATGTTGTAAGGCAAAATGAGTTTGTTAAGAATTTATTGAAACTTATCTAAACTAAAATATTATATAATTGCTTGTGCAATTAGAAAAATATTGACTATTCCAGAATTGAGATATTTGAAACCAAAGATGACAGTTTTTATACGTGTCATTGACTGCTATTTTTAATTTCTATTTTTAATTTCTATTTTTAATTTCTATTTTTAATTTCTTGTAAATTAATTAGAGTTTTAATGAAAAACTACCATAATATTACAGATTAATATAGTGAAATTATATACAAATTTCAGAATTATTGAGTTTTGTTTGGAAAATACAATGGTGGAAAGTTTATATTTTATAGTAATACTCAAGATATAAATATATAAATATACAGGGTATCTGATAATTGTAACACACTAACTCTATAGGGGCGTAGAGCTAAGTGAGAGGATCAGAAAAGTCCTCTTCCATTTAGCGATAACGCGTCTAGTTTGTTAGTAACAACTGCGTAAAGTTTGGCGTTTGTCACACCTATCGCGGCCTATATAGTGTCCCGCATAAGACGTGCCAAAAGAAAAATATAAGTAGAACAAAAGTACATAAAAGTGAACAAAAATTGTAGAGGTCATTTTTCAAACAACCACGTAAAATTTCGAGATATTAATTAAAATAGACATATCAAAGCGCGGCGACGCGACAGGCAGGACATACGGCTTGCCGCGGCCGGCGAAAAAAATGGACGATTGTTCGCGGGCCTATCTTATAGGTCAGAGAGGTAGGTTGTTTGGCATATGAAAATGGATAGCTCCGTATGCGCGTCCGTGTACGTGTGCGTTTGTCCATTTTCTTCCGCGCGCTATATTATTGGGCTGCGCTGTGACTCAAGCGGTCCGTCCTCTACCATTCAGTACACGCTTTTCCTTAATTTTTCATAATTAATTACTCGACTATTATTATGAATTTCGCAAAACGGTATAGGACTTTTATGTTCACATCAACCCATTCTACGTCCCCACTAAATGCCCGGAGGAGAGTGTAAGACACCCTATATATACAGGGTGTCTGACTCGTACCGTACCAGAGCTAACATATAGTTAGAATAGGTCGGGGTGAGTAATAGAATTGACGTCTGTTTTTAAACAATCACGTAAAATTTTGAGATATTAACAATAAAAGATTTCTATCGAACGGCAACCTACTAGCCAATCAACACGTGTGCTGCAGTGAGACGAACGCTGTACGCGCTGTAGCATCGGCATAACAGGCTAGCCTGGTCTGCCTCCTGGCAACGCGTTTTCCTCGTTGTTCACACGTGCTGATTGACCAGTGGGCTGCCGTTCGATAGAAATCTTTTATTAATATCTCAAAATTTTGGTTGTTTAAAAAAAGATACCGATTCTATTACTCACCCCGACTTATTCTAGCTATATGCTATCTCTGGTACGGTACGAGTCAGACACCCTGTGTACATATATATATTGCACGATTTTACGTGATAATGCACTCATCTTCTTTAATTAATAATTAAAAATCTATGTGATTATTTGCAAAATGGTAGAGGACTTTTTTGTTCAATTTGACCTAAAGTATAAAGTACCCTGTATATACACAGAGTGTTTCAGACCTCCATAATGACTCTTTGTGAGAACGTAGAACGGATTGAGGTGAGCAAGAAAGTCCTATGCCGTTTTGCGATATTCGCAATAGTTTTTAAGAAATTAATTATATTGTCTTAGCTAATGAGAACAAAGGAAGCGGCAGCCGAAAGAAAGATGCTTTCGGTCGCGCGACCGTGATACACGCGAATCGCGACTCGCTGCGTCCCTTCGCCCATAGCTACGAGACATAGTGAGGGCTTGATACACTACACATATACATGACATATCCGTGTGCCGAATCGACGCCGAATCTAAGAGTGTGTTGCCGCTTCGTTATTTCATCTTTATATATATGTATGCAACCGAAGCAACGACACGTTTTGATTCGGCATAGGGATATGTCATGTACATGTGTTAGTGTATCAAGCTTCGCTGTGTTTCGTAGCTATGGGCGGAGGGACGCAGCGAGTCGTTATTCACGTGTATCACGGTCGTGCGCCGGCCGAAGACATCTTTCTTTCGGCTGTCGCTTCCTCTCATTAGCTGAGACAAAATAATTAATTTCTCGAAAACTATTGCGAATATCATAAAACGGCACAGGACTTTCTTGCTCACCCTCAATCCGTTCTACATTTTCACAAAAGGTCATCATGAAGGTCTGAGACACCCTATATATATATATATATATATATATATATATATATATATATATATATATATATATATATATATATATATATATATATATA